GTGCCGCGGGCACAGCAGGATGTGCTGCATCCAAGGAGCACCCCCAGCACCCCCAAAATGCTGAGTTAGGGGGGGCTGCACCATCTCGGTAGCAGCAGGGATCCAGCCGCCCTTAGTCTGTGCGGTAAAATCATGCAGGAAGGCAAGATGCACCAAGTCCAGGCTGGGAAATGGGGGTGTTAACCAGGAGCGGGGCAGGGGGGTTGTTTACTGCAATGCACTCCATGCAGGGGAGATGCTGGCGGCTTTTTTCCCCACTTAAAGCACATTATTGTTGCAGCAGCGATGCCATTTTGGGGTCAATTTGAAGCCCTCCGCCCATTTTCCTGAGCTGGAGAAAGGTGATGGCCACCTCGCCCCTCCACGCCTGAGCGATTTGGGAAAAAAAAAAATTGCTTTTTGTTTGCAAAATAAAATGTCACAGAAAACGTCAAGCAAAAGGAGGGCAATGTTTGGAGAATGGCCCAGGTCTGGGATTGCTGGGTTTTGCTCGCCCCGCAGCAGCCCTGGGGTACCCGGTACCCAGCTCTGCCGTTGCCATGGGGATTCGATTCCCAAGTTCAGGCGGATGACTTCCAAAATCCGCTCTTGTTTTGAGAGCAAATCTCTGTTTCAGGAGAGCGCCCTGGGGAGCGCGGGTGTTTGGCGCACGGGGCCACAGCCAAAGGTCACTCATGGCCGTGCCGGGGGCTGCGCTTGGTCTCGGGGGAGATTTTGGTGTGAAAATCGGCCCCACAGCGCACGGGGCTGACATTTCGGGGCCGGTGCTCGCCTGGGCCGGGGATGCCGAGCGCCGCAGGGCAGAGCCTGAGCTGGGTCCCAGAAGGCGGCGAAGCCAAAGAGCAATAAAATGCAGTCGATGACTCGGGGACGAGAATTAATCTGCTCCGAGGAGCCAGGCGGCCACAATGAAATTGCAAACGAGCCCTGTAATGGCCCGGAGCACAGGGTTGATTTCACTGCCCAGTGGTCAGAAAACGCGATTAACCACAGCTAAAACCCGCTGCAGCCGAGGGGCATGGCTGGGGGGGCAACGGGGGCGATCCCCCAACAGTTTAACCTGGCGGGGAGGTTTTGGGTCGGCGCAGGGTCGCCCCATGTGCCGTAACCTCACCAGGGATGCAGCTGGGGTGGGGACCCCCACAAGGTCCCCGCA